TGAAGGTAGACAGAAACACATAATGATTAAACTATACAGAGAGGGCACCTATTTTGAGTGATTTGGCATATACAAAATCTTCATTTGTTGCATCGATTGAGGCAATCTTCTAAGACATGGAGACAATTGCCCAGATGCCTCTGGGAACAGCCCTGATTATTTAGTCATTGTACCACAACCACAAACTCACTTTGTTGATTTTTATAAATATTATAATATATAGATATATATAAATATTTATAAAATTCATAATTAAAACTGAAATAAGAGGTTTCTATTGGTTGATCAATGAAAGAACATATGAACCTTTTCAAATGGTGTCATTGCGAGCTTCACTCACTGATTGGCTAGTTGAATAAATATTTATAAAAATCAACACAATGGGGGTTGTGGTCACGATAATAACCAAAGTCAATTTCATCTCCTTTCCCAAACAAAAACACAATATATTTTCTACATATTTTTTTTGTTCAATGAAGCTAATGATAAATTACATGTATGTTCATTCATTAACAAAGAAAAAAACATTAATTATCAAAATATACGTATAAAAATTTACAAAATATTGCCGCAAAATGTGTTTGGAAAAATTGTAAGATGTGTCAAATGAATTAAATTCTAATTAATGATGACAGCTAATTACTTGGTCTGAGGTCATCAAAATATGTGAAAACAACATTCCCATAGAAAAGGTGTGAACAAGGTGAAAAAAGGTTGTTGTTGAACATTCAAAAACATGTATTTTTAAATTACTGAAGTAAAGCCATGATTTATATACGTGACTAATGAAATCATTTAGATTATGAACATTTCTCCACTTAACATTTACGGTAGAACAAATGGTATCAAACTGTTTTGTGAATTGTCGTAGTATTACCATAGTAACGGATAATGCTGTTATTTTCATCGCCATAGAAACATACAAACAAGCTTATCAATGGCACAGCTGCTTGTTGTCTTTCACACATTAAGCAGGGGCACTAACCTAGGAGATTGGAAAGAAACAATTATTTTTTATGTTAAGCATTTTTTTACATAATTTTTTGTAGAATTTTAACGTTTGTTGTGATATTTTTCTAGCTCACATTCTTGTATATATAAATTTTCTAAATTTTGTTTCCTCGAAATATAATAGATGTTTATTTTTCTAAAAGTCAAAATAGATCTAAAGAAGATAATACCGGTAAGCTTTTTTGATCAATAATTTTTCTACAGATGAGAAAAGAAAATGAGAATTGAACCAAAATTGTGACTATTAATCAATTCTCTGCCTAGTTTTGTTAGTGTGTCAATGAGCAGACTCCCACTAAACAAATTACAACATGAACAGATGCTATTTTTAACCCTTTCGCTGTTGTTCTCAACGGGCGTACCTTTCAAGAGGCGGATTGATTTCCTAGCATAATAGCTTTTGTCCAGATTTTTAAAAATTATGATTATTATGTTCAAAAACAACAAAAATTACAATTGAAAAAAATAAATTTTAAACACTGACTGCATCTTTTTTTTTGCAGAGAGAATGATTTCTATGGTTTCAAGCCATTAATTTCCTCTTGTTTTTTTCCAGAACCACTCCCCATGAAATTACGTGCATTACCGCAGTCTTTCTGGCAGCAGCCTAATGCTGTCAACACTGCATCACCTGCGAACATGTTTAAAATATTACCACCCCTCTACAAACAGGAAACAGGAGAAGATGTGACAGGTAGGTTGCTATGACAACACACTGTAATGTTCCAATCCTGCGATCTTGCAGAAAACACATTAAAATCACTCATTATTCTTTTTTTTTTACGGCTGGTCAATTGTGTAAATTTTTTCCTGAGATAAAACACTCGCTTTTTGCACAAAGCCAAATATGGTTGCACATTGACAATACATTCATTTCCCCACATCTGGTAAAGTGAAATCAATTTAATAGGAACAATGTCACTTTTTTTTTTATTTTGAATAATTGTATTTTGGAAAATAGTTATGATTGTTTAAACAAAATTGTTTCTAATTGATCAAAAAGGCCCACAGAGATGTATTGAAGTTATATTATGGAATGGTCTCTTGGG